AGCTACATAAAAATGGTGACTTTAGCCATGCCGCCTGAAAGCTTTTTTTGTTAAGCAACACATTTATTTTGAAATCACCTTTGCAGGCTCTTTGGGGAGTTGGGGGCGTTCAATTGAGACCCAATATTTTAATGGAACGGCCACTTTAATTAGTATAAGCTGAAAGTGGCTCACAAGTTCATTTTAAGGGTCCATGCACACTGGGCAAAAAACACCAGTTCCCCTGGCAGAAAAAAAAAACAAATCTGAGTATTTTTGTACACACATTTAGGAGCGATTTTTTTTTTTTTTTTTTTTTTTTTTTTTTTAAATGCAACTGCAAGGCTTTTTTTTTTCTGCCTCTAAACGTCCTACTGTAAACGGACACATAGGATAACATTGAGCTGCTTCTGCAGGCAAAACACAGGAGCAGCATTTTTTTTTAAGCCCAGCGTGCATGGAGCTCAAACAGCAGTACTGTGTGCACAAGGCCTAAGAGGAAAACCCTTCTCAAAGGATAAGTTCACCTTTTATACCATGTGAATACGGGTGTAACATGCTACTGATACAGCAGCACCCACACCCCACCAATCCCCTGTTGTGACAGCAGGCCAGGGATCTTCTCCCAGAGCTGCTGTCACAATTTTAAAAAAATAAGGTCGTGTGTGTCTTCAGCCACCCGGTCCTATCATTCATTCAGAATTCTGTGAATGGAAGAACTGCAACTACCAGCAGCCACTGCAGCTGACAGCTTGTAGATCTTAATAACAACCAGGACTCTGGTGAGCGACTTCATCGATTCTTCCTGTCATTTGGTAATTGAGTGCTCATACAGGGTACAGGCAGACAGCTTCACCAAGGGTCAGTTCACACTATAGAAACGAGTTCCGGATGCGTTTTTGATGCATTCCTGTGTGTTTTTGATGTGTTGCGGTTCATCCCCCCTCTTCAATTTAAAAAGGGACATGCTTCATGATTCTTTTGAATTCATTGTATTCCACCATTCACTTCCAGGAACTTTTCCATATATACCCTGATGCTCACCATAAGGAACAGATAAGGAAGAATACACGATTTGATCTGGATTCTTTGTATGGAATTTTCATTTAATGAACACAGAAGAATTATTATTGCCTCAAATTCATTGCTAAATATATCGTTTATGCAGCTCAATGGAAGACGCCGAACGGTTTTTTTATTTTTAACTCAGATTTTATTTTTATGATTATATTATGTTCACCATGTCTATGTGTACCTTTTCATAATCCATGAGATCAAATAAACACAATATTGCATTCTCCAAAATAGTGATAAATTACTCTGCATAGGATTTATTATAAACCACTTCCTGGCAGACTTTGCACTAGTCAGGGTGGATAAAAAAAAATAAAAAAAATTGGATTTTTTTCATTTAAATTGGATTTTTTTTTTATTTAAATCGGATTTTTTTGAATAAAATGCTTTTTGAGCAAAATATATTACCATCCAAACGTTATTCCATCATGAAATAAAGATTCGTTTTTTAATTATGTAGAATAAGGCTGTATATGTTTAATTGTTTTGGTAAATAAATTCCATGAATCCATTCACAATGTCATGCTCTTCCAGAGGTTTTTGTAAGATTATTGGGCAGTTTCTCGGCCTACAAGATATTATCACAGATGTTGGTTTACTTTTGCAGTTCTCAAAACTGAATTTGACTCAGCGGAGATCACATGCCTCTTCTTCACAGCAAAAATGTTATAACATGAACAGAGTTAAGAAAAAGACCTTCATCCTAACTTCTACAAACCTATGAATACAGAATCAACCCCTTCACTGCTAAAGTTCAAGAAGTTCAGTGAATAGAATAGAAACAATATTTTTCTGATTGTTTGGAGTGGAATAGATCTGCACAAGAAGAAAGTGAGACTAAGTGTGAGGAGGAAGGGGCTGACAGTGCGAGGAGGAAGGGGCTGACAGTGTGAGGAGGAAGGGGCCGACAGTGCGAGGAGGGAGGGGCCGACAGTGTGAGGAGGGAGGGGCTGACAGTGTGAGGAGGAAGGGGCCGACAGTGCGAGGAGGGAGGGGCACAAGAAGAAAGGAGACTGACAGTGTGAGGAGGAAGGGGCTGACAGTCTAAATTTCTTCAAATATATATATTTTGTTTAGCCAAATTAGTTCACCAAACATGGATGTTTAAGCAAATCACATATGCTGGGATGTTATTGTTTCAGTTGAATAAATCTATTTAAATTGTTATTATTAAGGTAATGATTATTTTTCTCCTTCCTAAGTACAACAGAAAAGTTGTCCAAATATGAATGATTAACCTATTAAACTGGGGATAAAAAAACTAATATGAAAAGTTGTTATTCTAAAAATCTTCATCTACTTGTATATTAAAGTTATACCAGCAAGAATTAGTCTTTATGTAGAAAACTAGGATTTAAATCAAGCCTTACTGATTTAAAGTGATTTAAATCAGTTTGATTTAAATCAAATCCACCCTGGTTCACACTATAGAAACGTGTTCAGGATGCGTTTTTGATGCATTTCTGTGTGTTTTTGATGTGTTGCGGTTCCCCCCCCCCCCCCCCCCCCCCCCCCCCCTCTTCAATTTAAATAGGGACATGATTCATGATTCTTTTGAATTCATTGTATTCCACCATTCACTTCCAGGAACTTTTCCATATATTATTATACAGTATTTATAAAGCGCCAATAGTTCGCTCAGCGCTGTACATTACAACGGGGTACATATATACCCTGATGCTCATCATGAGGAACAGATAAGGAAGAATACACGATTTGATCTGGATTCTTTGTATGGAATTTTCATTTAATGAACACAGAAGAATTATTATTGCCTCAAATTCATTGCTAAATATATCGTTTATGCAGCTCAATGGAAGACGCCGAACGTTTTTTTATTTTTTATTTTTAACTCTGATTTTATTTTTATGATTGTATTATGTTCACCATGTCTATGTCTTTTCATAATCCATGAGATCAAATAAACACAATATTGCATTCACCAAAGTAGTAATAAATTACTCCGCATAGGATTTATTATAAACCACTTCCTGGCGGACTTTGCAGTAGTCAACTGCCATTTTGTTTTCATAAGCTTTTATGGGTTTACAATCCATACTCTATAAGTAGTGAGATGGAGATATCACAAGGTCACTAGACTAGATCATAGTATGATGGCAACTTTCTCCTTTTTTATATATTTAAGATGTATGTTCCAGACTGTGTTACTGCGTTCCAGTACAGTTCCGTGCAGGAAAAATGCAGCCTGTTTTACTTTTTTTTTTTTCTGCATCCAGAACTTCAAGCACTGATGTGAACTATTATTATTATACAGGATTTATATAGCGCCAACAGTTTGCACAGCACTTTACAAAATGAAGGCAGATATTAAAATATGAATACAATTTGGTGCAAGAGGAATCAGAGGGCCCTGCTCGTAGGAGCTTACAATCTAGGAGGAAGAACTATGACATTGACAACCATTTAACCTACTTTCTGTGCATTTTGGATGCAGAAAGAAAAAAAAGCAACTGAAACGTATGTGGTGGGAGATGGCCCCGACAGTCTGCAGGAGCCTGGCATTACACCTGTGATCTACCGATTGCGGGTACAATGCTCTACAGGCTCCTAATAAAAAAAATGAATGCACTTTTTTTTAACCTGCAAAAAAAATATTTTTTTAAATTGTTACTTATCCTTTAAATTGTTACCAGAATAAGGATCCACACTGAATGGATGTCACCTCTATTCCCATTTCAGCAACAGCTTGCAAATTATATACAATGCGTGGCAAATACATTTAATAGAAAACTCTGAAACTGCTTAAAAGGCAACTCTTTTGTTGAGAAAAAAAACACATTCCTCTGGGTAATCTATGTACATTGCAGGGGTTTTAACAAACCTTTTTGCAGATTCCTACCTTTTGTTACTCTGAAGAAATAGTGGTGTCCATGTGCTGGGTGAATGTATATGGGAGTGATTTTACAATTACCAAACTGCTGCTACACGTTCAATGTTCCAATGAGGAAAGTGGCAGGCTCTGCATCCCTTTAGATGTAATTTCCCCTTGGGAGTATCTCACCAAAGATGAAATTTTTGCTGCAGGGGATGCCAAAAAAACTGACTTAGTTTAGTGCAGACTTCTGGGAAAATCACTGAAACAGGCAATTACTTTTTCAGGGGGCGTTCTGTACACCAGTGTTTCTCAACATTTTTTCAGTCAAGGCACCCTTTTAAATTATGGAAAGTCCCGAGGCACCCTTTCAAATTATGGACAGTCTTGATGCACCCCATTCTAAAATGGAGCGCTTCTAGACTTTTCATAATTTTAAAAGGGGGCCCCATTCTAAAATGGGAAAAACTATTCTAATACTTTTATATAACGCAGCAACACCCACACATGTAGGACACCCAACATTAGAGGTGATTTGTCCTTCCAAAGCAAATACACTTTCACTCACTGGTACTGACTAGTATTCCAGTGTTTCTCTTCTCCCTCAGTTTTTCTCCATCACTCAGTTAATGTGACCCCAGCACTGATGGAGAGGTTGGTGTGTCATTGGTTCTCATTGGCTGACTAGAAGGTTGTAATGGTGCACAATGAAAACCCCTGGCTTTGTGTAACTAAAAGATAGAATTGTTCCACCCGCTGGCTTGTGTACAAACTTTGGGCAATTTTTAGACATTTTGCCAAGGCACCCCTGAAGAAATCTCAAGGCACCCCAAGGTACCTGGGAACCCTGGTTGAGAAAGGCTGCTGTAAACCATCTGTGTACAGAATGCCTCCAGGTAGCCATATTATATTGCATTTTACAGAATATTACAGAGCTGCATATTGAAAAGGAAAGGTCATTTTTAATAACAATCAATTACAACATGACTTGTGTTGCAATTATACGTATATTTTTTATTTGCTCATTTTTTTTCCCCCAAAAAGTGGAGCTAGTCTTAACCACTTGAGCTCCTGAGGATTTACCCCCCTTAATGACCACGCCTCTTTTTGCTACTCAGCGCTGCACTAATTCAACTGATAATTGCGCGGTCATGCAATGCTGCACCCAAACGAAATTTACGTCCTTTTTTTCACACAAATAGAGCTTTCTTTCGGTGTAATTTGATCACCTGTGCGCTTTTTATTTTTCACACTATAAACAAAAAAAAGGCCAAACATTTTGAAGAAAAACAATATTATTTTTTTACTTTCAGCTATAAAAAATATATAGTAAACTCAACGTTAGTTATAAATTTAGGCCAAAATGTATTCTGCGACATGTCTTTGCTAAAAAAAAATCCCAATACGTGTAAATTAATTGGTTTACGTGAAAGTTATAGCATTTACAAATGGCGGGAAAGATACTGGGATTTGTAATTTTTATTTACACTAATAATAGCGGTGATCAGCGACATGTGGCGGCAATCAGCGACATATGGCGGCGACCAGCGACATATGGCGGCGACCAGCGACATATGGCGGCGACCAGCGACATATGGCGGCGACCAGCGACATATGGCGGCGACCAGCGACATATGGCGGCGACCAGCGACATATGGCGGTGACCAGCAACTTATGGCAGGACTGCGGCGGACATTTTGACACTGGGGGGGAACTGACTTGGGGTCACTGACATCCCCAGTGACACCAATACAGTGATCAGTGAAAAAAAACCACTGAAACTGTACTAATGTCACTGGGGAGGAAGGGGTTAACATTTTTAGAATTTGCTGTGTAAGGGGAGTGTTTTACTAAGGGGCGGGGGTGTGTACTGGATGGGGGGGAGGGAGGGGGGAGCTGATTGAGGGAGAGAAACTCTGCAGCTTCTCACAAGCTGTCAGAGAACTGACACAGAACAGAGCTGTGTGTAAACAATGCAGCCCTGCTCTGTGTCAGCGATCACCCGTCAATCGCGGGAAAACGGCCGGTAAAAACCGGCAGTGACCCGGTGGCTGACACCCGCGGGACAGGTAGGGGGGGGCGCGCGCCCCCTACCTGTTTTGAAGGCAGCCGTTTTAAAACGTGCTTTTGCCTACGAGTGCCGCCCTGCCGCCGTTTATATGCGGTGGCTGGGCGGCAAGTGGTTAAATGAACATTTCAGAAAATCAGGGTAAAAGGTCACTATACTACGCAAAAGTAGTAAAAATCACCAGAGGCAAAGCAGGTAATAGATCTGGTACATCCGACAGAATGGCAACTTGCCACACAAGCAATGGTGGGGGGTACAGCTGTAGCACAATAGGTGGCAATGCGAGGGGAAGGACTCCTATAATCCAACTATGACAACTGTGGTTCTACTACATATAAGATACAAATTAGAAGGGCCAATCTCAGGTAATTTACCGTGCAGGGACAATAAACACCAACTGTGCGCTAAGATTGAACATTCAGAGAAGATCACCACAGCCCACGCTCTCCCCTCATTTTTAATTACACTTTACATTAAGCACAATTGAATAATTATTAATATGCCTCATTACCGTGGGCTTGGATTCCCCTGCATTACGCAGAGCATGTTAGAACATCGCAGTAATGGGAATGACAACCAGTGGGGCAGACGCACTTCCTGATTTAATGCTGGCGTTCCTATAATCAGGTTTGCCGTTTTGCCCATAAGGTTTTTAACTGCCTCGCGTTTCACCGGGATGGATCAGACAATTGGCGCTTTCCTCAGGCCTGCCAGGTGGCAACGTCACAATAGACCTTCATTCACGGGAGAGCAAAGAGATACTCGCCGGCAACAAAGACATCTGAGCTCCCAATTTAACAGAATGTTTGCTTTTCTCGATGCAGAACAGAGCTTTGTTCAGGAGGAGACATGTCGATTCCCAGTGATGGCTTTATCAAAGGACACCACCAAAACGCAAACAATTCCCCGTCAAAGTTAATTGCAGATGTTTCTATTATTCAGCTTTTATACTGCAAGCTAGAGATCATGGAATGGTAGCTTTGTGGAGAAGATTTTGCTTCTGATACATGCAAGCTGAACAATAGAACGGGGTTGATTCACTAAAATCTGCTGCCGCCATGCATGGTAGCCAATCACACAGGTGGCGCAAACATCTATTGCAGTGGTTCTCAACCTTCCTAATGCCGCGACCCTTTAACCACTTCCTGACCGGCCGTTGTATATAAACGGCTGGACGGTGGCAGTGCAGGGTCGGGTGGCCGTTTATAAACAGCCTCCCCGCACCCTGCTTGTGTGCGCTCCCTCGGAGCGCGCGCAGCACCGCGATCCGGTGCCCGCTGTGTCCTCCGGACACAGTGAAACACCGATCGTCAGACGGGACCTCTGTACGAGGTCCCGATCATGTGATCACTGATTGGCCAATCAGTGATCACATGCAAAGTAGTAAGCAAGATGTCACTTGTGACATCATTGCTTACTACGTGTGAAATCTGTGAATGATCACAGAGGTCACATGGTACAAGGCTATTCACAACAGCCTTGTACCATGTGACAAGCTGTGACCAATCACAGCTCACTCAGTACTTCTCAATGACTGCAAGAATGCACACAGAGAGAAGGAGAAATGATTGCTTTTACATCCTATATGGGTGTAAAAGCAATCAGTGTAAAAAAAATAAAAAAAACAAGTAGTAGAGTGTCACCATGGTGACACTGTACTGCTAGAGTGACAGTATGTAAAATAAATAAATAAATAAATAATATAAAAAAATAAAAGAAAAATGTAAAAGAAAAATGTTTAAAAGTTATAATTTTTGGTTATAAACTAATTTGGATTTTTTTACTAAAAAGATAACGGAATAAATTTTGGCAAAGATTTATGATGACATATTATTTATTTGCAAAATTTTATTTAAAAAAACACTTTTTAAAATTTTTTTTGGATATTTCATTTAAATAGCAAAAAAAAATAAAAATCCCAGCTGTAAATAAATACCACCAAAATAAAGCTTTATCTGTCTCAAAAAAATGGTAAAAAATTCATTTGGGTACAGTGTTGCATGACCGCGCAATTGTCATTCAAAGTGTGATAGCGCTGAAAGCTGAAAATTGCCCTTGTCAGGAAGGGGGTAAAAGTGTCCGGTCTGGAAGTGGTTAATACAGTTCCTCATGTTGTGGTGACCCCCAACCATAAAATTATTTACCCAGCAATTATAATTCATGAAGTGTCGTTTTACCTCCAATACTGCTGCTTCTAACACAGTAGCTGCTTTCAACACAGTAGCTGCTTTCAACACAGTAGCTGCTTTCAACACAGTAGCAACACTTTCAACACAGTAGCTGCTTTCAACACAGTAGCTGCTTTCAACACAGTAGCTGCTTTCAACACAGTAGCTGCTTTCAACACAGTAGCTGCTTTCAACACATCGGAAATATGTGTTTTCCGATGGTCTTAGGCGACCCCTGTGAAAGGGTGGTTCGACCCCCAGGTTGAGAACCACTGATTTAGCGCATTATCCAAGGTCTATTGAAAATTTTAAATAAACCTTGGATAATGCGCTAGGTGTTTGCATCACCTGTGTGCTTCTTTTCCAGTTTTGGTTTGATCTCCCAGTCAGAGGAGGGCTGCATCACCAAGATTTTATTCCAAGGCCATCAACACATCGGATTCCCTGGGTTTCTTCCTGGCAGTGATCCCTTTGAGGCACTGGAGAGTTAGTTCTTTCAATCCAATATGGTAGCCAATCAGCTTCTAACTTCAGCTTGTTCAATTAAGCTTTGAAAATAAAATCTGGAAGCTGATTGGAAGGTGAAAAATCTGAAGTGAAAATCTGGATGAATAATTTCAGAAGTGAGGTATTGTATTCTAATGTATTCTTTCATTTCAGAGCATGCGCGGTCTTGTTGTTTTTTTCAGACGAACACTGTAGTGATTAAACAAAAAATCGTTCGCTGTTATCTTCGTGGAAAAATCTTTGTGCTTGTCCTTTCGGATAGTGTCGCATTAACTGTTGTGATCAGCTTTCGAAACCTGTGTACTAACGATTAGATTATCGTACGATCCCTCCAAAAGTGATTTTTGTCATCATATTTTCTGACCGTGTGTACTAGGCATTAGACATCATGGGCCCTGTTTCACGTGTGTGCTCTACAGCCCCTGCCATTACACCTTTGCCTGGATCAGCTAATTGCACTTCTTCCATTGATAGTCACCGAAATACTATCAAAGCTCCATGACTACTGCAAGGCACAAGCTAGCCTGATGTTCATTAAATCTCTGCCCAGATTCTGGGGTCTCTGAACATTCTTTATTAAAAAGGGACTGAAGTCTGGTCACACACTGATAATGTTTAATGTGTTTTATATAAAGCGCAAAAGAAAGAAAAAAAGACAGCAGATGTTACTGATAATAGAGCACGGGCTCCATTGTGGAAAAGGACTGTGCAATGACAAGACATGGCTTCCCATTAACAAGCATGGGTCCGTAAGGCCTTGTATGGAAGACGCATTCAGCTAGAAGGTTTTATCTAGTCCCAGGAGACAAGTCACAGAGCTACTGTATGTGGGAGACACAAACCGTGTTATCTACGGCATGAATTGGAGGGGCAGAGCCTGGCGTATGACCTCATTCTTCAGAATGGTAATCAGTGTGGGCGTGCTGCAATAATTAGCAGCATTAATAATAGGCAGACACTGGGAGGGCGGTTCAAACAGCTCCTCCGAGACAGGAGTGCTAATAAAACAAATATATACATGGCAATGATGCCCCCACACACACACCGCAACTGATCGACCTCATTAACTGCTTAGCCTACTCCAGGATCTTGGTTTGTATAACAGAATAAGCTTTGAACGGCACAAAACACACATAAAAGAAGACAGTCACAAAACACACATATAAAAGAAGACAGTCACAAAACACACATATAAAAGAAGACGGTCACAAAAACACACATATAAAAGAAGACGGTCACAAAACACACATATAAAAGAAGACGGTCACAAAACACACATATAAAAGAAGACGGTCACAAAACACATACAAAGAAGAGATTTTTTTATATGCACATTGATGATTTATGTGTGTGAATCACAATTATTCGTTTACCAATTGGATTTATGAATTATTTGTATATATATTTATCACGTATTACATTGTTTACCACAGTAAAAAGAGCAAAGTCAAAACATTTTGGCCCCCCTAAAGGATGATGAAGGGAAGCTGGTTACAAATGACAAGAAGAAGGCAACTGCACTAAACACATTCTTCACAAAGGAAAAGTAGAGGTATAGTAATCAAGACCGTATCATTAGTAACAAAACACAGAATGTATCCTTGTGGCTAACAGAAGACATTGTTCGAAAAAGACCAGAAAATATCAGCACAAATAAACCAGATGGACCAGATGGTTTACACCAGACAGTCCTCAAAGAACTCAGTCAGGTTATGGCCAAACCGCTGCACCTACTTTTTATGGATAGCATACAGACAGGAATAATACCAGCTGATTGGCGAAGGGCCAACATGGTACCACTATTCAAAAAAGAGAAGAGACATAGCTGGGAACTACAAGCCAGTCAGTCTGACATTAATAGTATGTAAATTAATTGAGGGGATGATAAGGGATCATATCCAAGAATTTTCGGAAGAAAACCGTATAATTAGTAGTAATCAGCATGAATTTAGGAAAGGTCGTTCTTGCAAAACCAATCTGTTAACATTCTACAAGCAAGTGAGCGGCCATCTAGACAAAGGAAGGCCGGTGGATGTGGTGTATCTGGATTTT